TGGAGGTCAACCCCAACAAGCCATATTTCATCACCTGCTGCCCGCCAATGCATGTGTATTAGGCAGGGGTCATCAAATGGTGGGCTGTGGTCCAGTCACGGATCGAGTGGCGGCTCTGTCCAGACCACGATCCCCAACCCACACTGGGTTATGGCTGCAGGACAGTGGATACACCGGTCTAGGAGGCCAGTGCATGCACTGCCAGCCATAACCCATGCGGGTCTCCAGCACTTCCTCGCCCCACCTACCCCAACCATTTGTGCAGAGCGGGAACACAAATTTGTTGGAGACGTGGCTGGATAGAGCGGCATTTGTCTGGCCCGCTCTCTGTCACCCCTGGAAGAGCAGGGCCGCTGGACCGGGTACTGTGGAGCCATGAGGCTGCAGTGTGAGGTGGAGGTCATTAACCGAATGCATCCTACCTTTGACATGAGAAACGGGGGGGAGGGTACTCATGCTGTCTGTGGGGAGACAGGAGGAGAAAAAGGGGTTCGGCCAGCGGGGGGGCCTATCTCTTTAATGATCTGCACCCTGAAAAACAAGGCCAGATCCAGGCTTTAGGTGCATGCTGATACTGTCACTATGACAATAGTGATGCTGTCATTTACCATGGCAACATGAGAGCATCTTCTACATGTAGTAGTGTAGAGGGCAGAAGTGACAACATCACTGTCTTTGTTAAGTGAGGGGAAAGAGAATGATATAGGACAGGGGTCACTAAATGGCTGACCACGGTCCGGACACGGGCTGAGCGACCGTTCTGTCTGGACTGCACTTTGGACCTCGGCTTGATGAAAATTTTACTCACTGGACCTCCTTGAATTTTAATTCACTAACCCTGGTATAGTGGAACTATAAGCATGTGATGGGGCGTGCCTTATGATGCACATTCATGTGCGATATTTGTGTTGCAGAGTTATTCATTTTTTAATGGCGTCCTCAACGCACATGCACAGTGTTAACAAATATTGTTCTTGGGTTTAGACACACTTTAAGAAATGGACTCTTTTGCTTTGTGGCAATCAGCACTGTATTCTGACTTCTACTGACATAAAAGATGGCCGGATCGATGAACAAATCTGTCATTTCCAGTAAATATATTTTTCAGTCTGGGGAGTTCTGATCCGGAATAGTGCTGAGCGATGATGAGCTTTAATGATTATTATTAACTTTTCATCCAACGTCTTGATTGAAGTAATCAGCACTAAACAGACCGGTGACCCGCCTGACCACAAACCTGCATTATTGTCCTGAGGAACCATACAAGGTGTCACCAATCAGTGGAGGTTCTTCACAAAGCTTTACAGAGCGTAAGACAGAAATAACTTCCCAGATTACATAGCAACCAGCTTCTGCTTATCATCTGGTTGTCAGGGAAACTAGTGAAGTGTATGACATAAGGCAAAGATTAATGATGCTGGCTCAGCGATAATACAACCCAACGGTGGCCTGGTCCCCTAATAGCGGGGAATGCTGCACGTGAGGATGTGTCTTGGATGGGTGAGGGTCATTCAGCAAATTAGAACACTTGAAAAGTATTTTTTATGAGTCTGCTTGAATCAATCCCTGTCGTGTCACAATATGCAGCATTTTGTTTTTAAATTCCACCATTTATCATTAAAAACATTGATCTTCTTGCAAGAGGATGGATTATGCCCTTTATCTACCTTAGTTACTGACTCCACTAGAGCCCCAGGTCACTGGTTGGCCTACTTTCAATTACGCGACTTCTACTCCCAGCTTTGGCTTCATTGTGATCTCCATAGAGATCTCCTGCCCTTAGAGCAGCGGTTCTCAACCTGTGGGTCGCGACCCCGTCGGGGGTCGAATGACGATTTGCCAGGGGTCGCCCGGGAGTCTCCCACTATTAGATAGCGGCTCCTGGCCGCCTGGGAGAGAAACATTTTCGAGCAGAGTAAACCTTTCTCTGCGATCGTTTGTTTTTTTTCCTGACATCGGGGGCCGCCTATCTATTGCACCCGCCCTCTGCTGCTGCCAATCAGCAGAGGGGGACCTGAAGTTCTCCATCAGGTCCTCTTCTAGTGATTGACAGCAGCAGAGGGCGGGTGCAATAGCTGGTTTGCTATTGGCTATTGCAAAGTGAAATAGCCAATAGGAATCTAGCTATTCATTCCTGTGGTGGACAGTGTTGCACCACGCCGCCCTATCTCGACCATATATAGCTTACTGCTCTCGACCTATCTTACGGACCTACCTAAATATATGGAGGATTGGGCCAGGGAGATGTCTTGTTCCTTCTCCACATCTATCTAAGTCCTTTATTTTGACTCATAAACTCTCCATCGCTAGTAGAGCTCAAGAACGCAACTTTAAAATCCTTTCCAGGGGGTACCTCTGCCCCTCCCGTCTCCATAAGATCAACCCTCAGGTTTCTCAACTCATGTTGGCGCTGTCACTCACACCCAGGGACAATGCTCCATATTTGGGGGACCTGTCCTGGCATATATAAGTTTTGGTCCACTGTTTTGCACAGTTACGACCCCCTTACCGGTTCGAAGACCGTCCGAAGCCCACAGATGGCCCTCCTTTCCATGATACCAGGATCCTTTGCTTCCTCCAAAAAGGGATTACTCCGCTTTTTCCTTGTGGCAGCTAGAACGGTCATACCAAGACACTGGAAGTCTTCGGTCCCCCCGACCATGAAGGAATGGACTGAAGAGATGCAATTTATTTGTCGGATGGAAGAGCTCACAGCTAGCATTCACGATCGCCATTCTCAATTTTATGAATTGTGGAGTGTGTTGTTGCACTTCTGCACAACCGACAAGTTCCGCTTATTGTTGTCAACCTAACTATCTGTAGCAGTTAAAATAAATCAATAATTAAAATAAATAAATACATACATAAATAAATAAATACTTATATGTATAGTGTATGTATATATATATATATATGTATATTTGCATGTATATATATGTATACATACTACAGATGTGGGGGGCCCGGGCTCCGATGCACATCTTCAGTTTTCCACCTATTTTTCCTTCACTTTTTTTCCTCCTTTTCTTTCCTTTCTCTTTTTTTCTTTCTCTCTCCTTTCTTTTCCATCACTCTAGATGCCTTAGGGGTATTTTTGCACAGCACAAATGCTGGCCGACAACCTAGGAGTTGTAGGATTGAGTAAACTTTTTCCATTGCAATGCACACCACATGTCGACCCTTTGTTATCTGAGAGTACCTTGTTTTTCTGTACTGTCTTACTTGCCTACTTTGTATACAGTATTACAAAAATCCTTAAGAAAACTTTAATCTTTATAAAAAAAAAAACCTTGATCTTCAGTCCAGTGACTTTGCCTAGGCTGAGATGATGTCATCTGCCTGCTCCAGGCAGGGTGAGGCATTTCCTCAGCCTCCCCCCCCAATGATCAGAATATACATTGTAACTATGTAGCAAATAACAAAGTGCAAGACTGTAGTAGACATTGGTGAAAAACTGCATAGGAACCAGGATTTACATGATTGTGTCAACTACAAGCCGGCATCTTACTCCCGGAGCTAGGTGGTGACCCAGCATGATGCCTGGACAAAGATGGATCCTTCCTTCAGGAGAGAAAAGCAGATGAAGGGGGCGTGGCCTGAGCAGCTGAACATGGCAGACGTGTGCTGATTCAGCTCCTCTTCCCCATGGCACCTAAGGCTGCTTTTCTTTAGCTATCTTCTGCGGAACGACCCCACCATTCCCCACTGCCATACCGGATCTGGTCTCCCCCTCCCATGGGCAAACGAAGCACCTACTCGCAATGTACCCGCAAATCTACGCGATCTTCCACCGCACGAGTGCAAAGGCCGCCACTCCGACCAGTACGAAGGCCGCCACCCCGACCACGTGTGCAATGGCCTCTTCTCCGCTGTACCCAGAGCGGCCATCACCATCGGGGACTCCCTCTGCGCCTTAGTTGGTCAATCTCATCCCCGCACTTTTGTCTGGCCGAACTGGGTCTCACACCGAGGGTGTTGCCCTCCTGCAACCTAGGCCTGAGAACCACATACCTGGCTACTATAAAACCCTTTCAGCCGCACCCCTGTCCTCCCTCTCCCTTCCCCCTACTGGTCCTTCTACTCACCCCCTTCGGCTAACTGGGTATTGTAGGTACACCTAACTCACCCGCCCGTAGCCCCACGCTATTCAAACTACCATCCCCATTCTCTATCACTCGGAGATTCCATGCCATATGGGACCCATGGTCCTCCATTTTCCTATCCACCCTTGATCCGATAACGCAATCCCTTAATGGCTAACCGCCCATCGCGCTGCAGCCCCTGGGTGGTGGTCACCACCCTTTCAGTTCTCCACTTTTCCCTTTCTTCTCTCTTCTCTTTAACTCTCATCACCTCATTCTGCTCCTCTTGCTCCTTATCTCCCCTCTCCCACCACCCCTCACCCCTGTAGGCCAACCTTACCAGGACGTGCGCCTCACCCCGGCCTTCACGACCCTAATTGGTAGTGCTAACTACTTATGGCCCTTGTGACATCAAAGACAATGAGCAGCAGAACTTCCCCAAATCTTCAGGGTAAATAATCTGCAAATCCAACAACTGTATTATATGATCTACTCCATGTGTCCTTATTTATGTTTTATGTTGTATCACTACTGGCCCAAGTGACTCCTCCCCCTTCCCCAAGTGGCTCCGTCGGCTAACGAAGGGACGGGGGCAGGAGTCGTGGACGTCATGGACGTCATGGACATCGACATTACCGGACTCCTCCCCCCGCATGTTCCCGCACTCCGGCTATATTAAAACTTCTGTTGGACATCTTATCAGCACTTTCCGTTCAGGGCTACTTTCTCCCCAGTCACTGCGGTGTAGGTGTGAACATGTTACATCAGTTCATGTGTAACTGCGGTGCAAAAAGAAAAGGATGCCCCACTTGTGATTTGTTTTTTGTGGTCTGAGGGTGTGCCTGGTGCTGTTATTTATTGGAGGCTTTGTGCGCAATATGGAGAAAGTGTTTTGTCGTGAAGAAATGTGTATGGTAGAAAAGTTCAAGGAAGGTTGCACAAGTGTTAGCCATCGAGAAGGAGCCAGACGCACGACCATGGCTGATGACAGCATTGAGCACACAAGTTGAGATGTTAAAGCATCCTCCCTATAGTCCTGATCTTGCTCCATCGGACTTTCACCTCTTTGGTCCCCTGAAAGCAGCCCTACGAGGATGAAGATTCACCTCTAATGAAGAAGTGAAGACAGCGGTGCATTCGTGGCTCTCAGCTCAGACTAAAACATTTTTTAATGAGGGAATACGAAAGCTTTTTGACAGATGGACAAAGTGTATTGAAAACCAAGGAGATTATGTCAAAAATGATGCATTTGTCTTTTCTAAAAGTTGATTAAAATAATTTCTACAGCCGGAGTGCGGACAGTTTTTAAAACTCCCTTGTGTGTGTGTGTGTGTATATATATATATGTATATATATATATATACACACATATATTAACCAGATTAAAAATTGTAATACAAGTAATTTTTTTAATATACATAATATATAATTTATTCATATATTCAATCAAAAAGAATGAAATGAACACAAAATATAAAACACATAGAGATATAGGAAGAACAATACCATACAAGTAAGGTGCAAAGTAAAGTAGGGAATGCACGGGTAGATTTTTGCACAAACGTTTTTACGAAAAATCCCATCTTGATAATGCCATCAGTGATTTGGCGATTGTCATTCGTTCTAAATTTTATTTGATTTTCGTTTTTTACTTAAAATTCTATTTTGAAATGAATAGAGTTTCCTGAACGAAAACCACATTCACTGTTAAAATGTAGTTCGATCAAGAAAAATTTTCATTTTTTCATCACTGCGGCCAAAATCGATCATGGATTTGACCACATGAACGATTAGAAAGTCGAACAAACGTTCCGAAATCGATTTAGTTCGTTCGAAATGCTAACCGCGTATACCCTACTTAACACTC